GGCCTCGCGTGGTCGCCCGCGGCCTCGGGCCACTCGCGGCCTCACGCGCGTGGCCCCGCGCGCCCCCCAGGTGTTCAAGCGCTTCGTGGAGATCGGCAGGGTCGCCTTCGTCTCCTTCGGGCCGCACGCCGGCAAGCTCGTGGCCATCGTGGATGTCATCGACCAGAACAGGGTGAGCCCAGGGCGCCCGGCCCGCTTTCCTCGTTATTATTTATTTATTCTTAGCGAGCAAGTCAAAAATCCCTTCTTTGGTATCTCTTACTGATGTAGGTGCCTTAAAAGCTGCTTGCTTTTAAGTTCTCAGGCAATAAGATACAATTCCTACCTCTTTATTATCACTAGAGGTGTGAGGTCTTGGACTCTTGTCCTTGTAGTCAAGCACCAGGTAGGTGTCTAAAAGTTATGAATGGAATTACCATTATGTCTAAGGTAAATGCTTGGGCTAGGATGTGCTTCGGTGAATATTTCTGAAAAAGAGAAGGGAATGGTAAAGTACGTGATCTTATTTCTGCATAGCCTTCCCAAGTCAGCTCCTTCTTCCAAAGGCAAAGATGGGCTTTTAGAAGCCTTGCTGTAGAGTTGTGTTTCGTGTGCAAGACGTGCTCGCCTCTGGGTTTGGCAGCACGAAACTTGTTTCAGATTGTTTTTGGCAAGTTGCACTTCACAAGTTATTAGGAAGCTAATGTCTAAATCAAACATGTTGGGAAAACTGCTAATGAACGTGTGTTTTCTCGTTTCAGGCACTGGTTGATGGCCCCTGCAGTGGTGTCAGGAGGCAGGCTATGCCTTTCAAGTGCATGCAGCTCACTGACTTCGTTCTCAAGTTCCCACACAGGTGAGTTCTCTGTCTTCTTTTGGCTTCTGTAAAACATGATGTGTCCCTTGATGCCTGAATTATGTGATTTGATGCCTGCTGAATGGAGAAAGTTAGTGTAATGTTAATTGAATTGATAAATCTGGGTGTAGTAGAAACTTGGCAGACTGTGTTACCAGTTGAATACATCAAAGATTTCACTGAGTATTGACTGGAAACCAGTGCTCAGGAAAGTGGAAGGAAACAACAGGCTGCCCTAGGCAACTTACAGCAGTGCTTGCACTAACACTGTGTGACTTTCCTTTTGTGTCCATGGTGTCTTAAACATCTGCTTAGATCACCTTCAGGCATTGCATATATTCCCTTCCTATAGAACTGTGCTGGAAAGGTAGGAAGCTGCGCTCACTCTCTTCCTTAGCCTGTTAATACAAGATTTTCCTTGGTTTTAGATATCATATTGTGTGAGAATTTCTTTTGGGGTAGCCCCTCTGTTTGTCTTAGCCAAACATTTTCTTGGGTAAATGCTAGCTTAGTCCATGGAAGTGTGTGTGCTGCTGACTTAGCACGTGGTGAGATGTAGCCATTAAATAATGTGTGTATGGTGTGGGAGGATGATCGTCTCTTGCACTAAATTGTGTGGGCTGCTGTCAGTGAAGAAATGTTCCTACCTGTGCGTGTGTATGTATAAGCATGTGTATATGTGGAAATATAAATATCTGCCTTTCCAAATGCAGTGCTCGTCAGAAGTGTGTGCGCCTTGCCTGGGAGAAGGAAAATATTAATGAGAAGTGGGCAGCCACAAGGTGGGCAAAGAAGATTGAAGCCAGAGAAAAGGTATGATTTTCGGCCGAAATACACGCAGTGCCAGCTAGACTCGTTAAAACTAGTGGCAGTCTAACACACTGTGTACTCTTGGAGGTTAAGGTATGGATTATTTGAAGTTACTGACAGCTTTTTGAGCTCTTTTGTGCTTTTCAGCCTTATGCTTTTACAGCAAATGCTTATTTTGTTCAACCACTTCTATAAGTTACTTTTCCAGGAAAAGCATAAAACGGCTAAATCAGTTCCTGAGGTGTACGTAGCCTTCATTTGGAGTTGTTCAGAGTTATTTGTGAAATATTTTGAGACACTGAAGTAGTTACTGCTTATTTATATAGATACCAAAACTTCATGATTGATTCTTTTCAAACAGAAAGCCAAAATGACTGACTTTGATCGCTACAAGGTCATGAAAGCGAAGAAAATGGTAAGTGATCTCCTTTAACTGCAGATTCAAATCTTATAAAAACCTTTCCTGTATTTTTGTATTTTGTTATGGAATGACCCAAAATGTGTGAATAGCTTGAATTTCTGATGATTCTTTACCCATCCCTTTCTCTTAAGCAGTTCATCAAACATCTTGTGTATCAGTCTTCTAACTTATAGCTGAAGAAGGAAGGAATTGCATGCAGTGAAATCAGACCTTTTTCAGGGGTTTCTGTTACTCTTGCATTTGTTATTAAACATAGCTATATGTAAGATATACTCAAGTAACCAGCCTGAATGATGCTGCTGACTTGGTAGGTCATCAAAACAGTTTAGATTGAATTTGCTATTTTGTATGTAATACATGATAAACTCTCTGATTTATTAAAACATAATCTGGTTAGCAAGGGATAGTTATCCAAAAGGGGAGAGGCTGAGAAATGAAATTAAGGAATAACATGTATGAAGAGTTATTTCATTCGGAGTAGTAATATGACTTTTTTTTTCTTAACAGAGAAACAGGATCATCAAGCATGAAATGAAGAAGCTCCTGAAGCAAGCTTCTAAAAAAGGCAAGAAGTTACAGAAGGCACAGAAGTAGAATAAACTTCTAACTGTGTGTTTCACTTAACGTGTCTGTGTTTCGGCTTTTCATTTTTAATTGATGAATGGTTAAATATCTGATTTAAACTACCCACAGGGGTAACGTGTGTTCGCTTTTGCTTCTGGCAAAGAATTGGCTGTGATATTTGCTGATGTCAGTGTTGGGTTCCTTGTGTTTCTGTCACTCTCAGCCAAGATGCCCACGTGGCCTGTGCTTAGTACCAATTCCCAGTATTGCTTAATGGTTATTGCACACCCAGTTGATGAAGGGAGCAGTCCAGATCATCAGGTGTCTTAAAGCAGTTTGCTGGGAGAGGTTTAGGAACAAATAAAGCTATGTGCAGTCTCCATGAAACAATGGTCAGATAAACTTCCTCTTTTTGGTATATATTCAGGCACCAGCTGAACCAGGGCTGTTGTAGTGTGACAGGGTGCCGTTCAAAGTCTCTCAAGTGTTCTTTTTTTTGAGCTTGTTTCTCTATAACAGGTGACTTGATAACTTCAATGTTGTAGATTTCTCATAACTCCCATTGTCCTGTAAGATAACTGATGGCTTTACTCAAGCATGCTTTCTTTCCAGAATGTTTTGAATTTAATAGCCTGTATCAGGGCTTGAGCCTAATTACACTTCTTCTTAATCAAAGCCATTAAGTAAAAGGGGATATAATCTAAAAAATGACTTGAAATCCCTATGAGATACTGATTTACTTAGTCTTCATGTTCTCAAATAGTGTTTACATTTCTTTAAATACCAGCATCCCTCTCTTCCATATGCTTTTTTCTATGTATTTTTTTTGCCATGGAGGATACATTTTATTTATAATGAATGAAAAAGTCACAGAAGTCCCTTTTGTAACCAAAAAGCAAATTATTTTTAGGACCAGGTATAAAATTGAGGAGGGAGAATATGTATCTAAAAAATGAAGGTTGTAAGAGCTTCAGTTTTTTAAAAAATATATTTGGCAGTGTTTCTATTTTGTCAGATATGTTGATGAACAGATTAAAGTTGTTCTGGATTTTAAAATAATGATTTTTAAAAAGTGCCTCTGAGTAAATACTGCTTGCTTAAGCTGTTTCTCAGCCTGTGGAAATTGAGTTCCAGTGTATGGGCGGTATGAATGGCTACAGCAAATAAGGAACAAACGCAGAAGCAATGCCAATTCAGGTGAAAATGTATTTACAAGCATCAGGAAGCCTTGTTTTAAATTGGATTTTCAAGTGGTTAAATGGATCTATTGTGAAACTAGAACAATAACTTAAAAGGTTTGGAACAGGGAGGCCTTGGGAGAGCTGCTCCTTTGGGAGAGGCAGGGGTTCAGCTATATGAAAGATGGAAAATTGATGTATTCTTGATAGTTATGAGTTCACAAATGCTTTTTCTATATTGTTTAGCCTTCCTTAAAGGCATTTGCTCCTGAAGAATAATTTTATTTACAATGACAGCAATTTGCTCAGTGTTTTCATTCCCACCAGTAGCACCTGGCAGCTGTAGAGGTACCTCTGAAATGTCTTTCCAGCTATTAAGTGTTTTATAACCTGTAAAGTTCCCATTGTTCTGAAGAGGAGCCTTAATCTCTTCAGGGAGAGCTGTGCTTGAATTCAGGGTAAGTGGCGTGCAGCTTTTCCAGAGTTCTCTGCTGGAGTGTGGAAGTTCTTCGCTTGTGAGGAGCCCGGTCGTCGCGGGGCTGTGGGGCCTGTGCTCACTGGTGCACGTGGCAGGGGGGATTCAGCAGAGGAGCCGCCCTCTGAAACAGCTCAGTTTTTGTGCAAGTTAACTGCAAAACGTCCACAGAGGGAGCCAAGTACCGGTGGTTTCACTGTGGCCCTGTGTGATGGGAAGGGATGTTCTCGCATTAAAGTCTAAGGCTGTGTTACGATGAGAAGGTTCTTCACGCGTTAGACAAAAAATAGTCTCTTAAAAATATATGTCTTATTTAGTAAGTGCACCATGTCTTTCTCACAGCATGTTCCCCATGAGCAGCATCTGGTGCCCTTTTTCTCAACACAAGAAACCCTTCTGAAGCCTTTTGCAGCTACAGCAGCTTTGTGTCATGTCAGTAGCCTGCCTTGTTCCAGATACCTTATGCTGCCTATGCTGGAAGGATCGGAAACAACATTTTATTGTTAATCTCCAGGTCTTCAACAGGAGATAAACCCAGTTAAACATAGCTAAACTTTTTCATTTGAGAGTACTTGTACGTTAATGGCATCTGTTCTCATATTCTCATGGTTTTGTAGGTGCTAGCTTGCGAGTTTTTAGTGGGATGTAGAACTCTATGGGATACAGAAATGAGTCCCGAAGCAGGGCGGCTTCCCTCCCGCAGCCGGCCACGGGATGGCAGTGCTGACCTCCTCCAGTCGCTGTGCAGGCTGGCGCGGCTGGGACAGCTCTGCTGCACTGGGCTGAAAAGCACCAAAGGCGGTGGCACCAACTCTGGAGACCAGTCTGTCTCTTTGTGAAGATCCTTTTGTCCTTAGAGTTGGCCAAAAGGTATTTTGCTGGACAATAGCTGCAAATACTAATGATTTACTGATATTTATATCCCAGCTACAAGTAACCCTCTAGCCCTGGTTTGCCTGGGTGGTTGCCGTGATGTTTTCAAATCATTTGCTCTTGTAGCTACCTGCGTGTTAACTGTCATCTTTGGCTGGAGAAATTGGGGTTACCCTGTTGAAATCTCCAGCCTTCTCCTTAGGGGAGTGGGAAGTTTGCTCCAGAGGAGCGAGAGAACCTGCTTCCTTGCTGGAGGAGCCGAAGACGACTCCAGCGCAGCCTGGGACTGCGTGGGGCAGCGGCAGCTGGGTCGGGGCCTCTGCACAACCGGTTCCCTGCCGACTGCAGCCCCCGAGCCTGGGCGTTGGGCCGGTGCAGACCCCCCTCCTCCTGCTCAGGATGCCTTGACCCAGTCCTCGCGTAGAGGACGCGCTGTTTAACGCGTCCCCAGTGGCCTCCTGCCGGGCAGGTGTTTTTCAGGGCCTCTTTCTTTGCTCTTTCGGGCAAGACCTCCTAGGGTCTCAGGTCGAGTCTCTGCTGGCAGGAGCCGTCGCACAGTCAGCTGTTGTTGGCTCTATCGTAGTCAGGTACTATATTGAGGTGATCTAAAAGGTTGGGAAATGGGCTTGTAGATCCCACCCCCACTGCCTTTCCTCCAACCTCTTCCTCTGCAGTACCCCAGAATAGCTTTTAAAGCGTCTTCTTGCTCTTTTTTTTCCCCTATTTTTATTTCTTCTTCCTGTCCTGGTCACGGTGCGCGTGTGAGTCTTCGCTCATGCTGGAGGTCTCAGTAGATAATGGAGGAGAATGAGGGGGTTTATGGCCCGGTGGAGCCTGGCAAGCTGGCGGTGCCGTCGCTCTGGCCGCTGGAGCAGAGTGCAGGGCCTGGGGGGCTGCCCAGGGAAGCTGCAGCCCTGCGGGATGCGCCCAGTCCTCGTCCCCGAGGTGAACAAGGGCCCTGCTCCCAGCCCAGCAGGGCCCTGGAGGAGAAGAACCCTTCACTATGGAGCTGCTCCCTGGCTGCCCGTGATGCCTGCTGGTGAGGCCACGGTTTGGTTTTCCTGGGAGGCATATGGTGGGAAGCAGGGAATTGCCAGGAGGGGGCTGTGGTTCTCTCCAGCCATGGGTTTTACAGAGTGGGACGTGTTCCCGGTCTCGGAATGGTGGTTTTGTGGTCTCCTAGTCCTGTGTGCTGAGTCTGTCTAGTCTTTCGAGGCTGCTCATGCTAACTGCCGCCTCAGTCCTGTGGTAACGTGTTCCAGAAGCCTCTTGTGGAGAAAAGTGCTCTCGTTCGTGTTTTAAACCAGTCTCCTGCGATGAGGATTGCCCGGTGTTTGAGGCAGAAGCTGCTAACCAGCCCCATGGTGCTGAGGATACCAGAGGGAAGCTGGAGAATGATTGATGGTGAGAAAATGTTTTGTCACCAAGGAGTCCAAGGAGGCCCCTGTTGTTTAGATGGAAAAGATGGATTCGTAGAATCACAAAATGCTTAAGGTTGGAAGGGACCTCCAGGAGTCATCTAGTCCAACCCCCCTGCACACGCAGGGTCACCCAGAGCACGGGACACAGGGCTGCGTCCAAGCGGGTTTTAAAGATCTCCAGAGAAGAGAGATCTTCCTTCCACTCCAAGCCAAGGATTGCTTCTACTCCAGGCTTGGGAGCAGCCAAGCTCCAGGGCCATCACCTCAACCATTTGGAGTGAAGGGTTTGCCGACTAAGGAAAGATGGACTCTCTGTTTTGGGAGAGGGAAGTGGGAAGACAAATTTCCTCCAGACCTCAGTGGCAACGAACCCCGAAACGCAGGACAAAGCCAGTAGAAATCTGGTCAAACCTCAGCCAAGTCTGCTCCCGTTTCCTTCCCCGAGGATGCCAACAAAGCAAATATCCCAAGCCATCCATTGCAATGTCAAGCCCTTCACCCCATGATCCGCCCCCATTCCATCCTCCGTAGCTTTGTCCGGGTGCAATACGGGCTCCCAGGTCACTGTCCCTCCCCAGTTTGCAGAACTTAATTCCTTCAGTTATTAGAAGCTTCTAATTGCTGCCTGCGTTTATTCATGACCAATTAACGACCCGCAGGCTCTGCTCCTCGCTTCTCTAACTGCAGGGCTGTCAGGAAAGATTCATGAGCCCATATGTTGTCGGTCAGGCCTCTTTTTCAGCAGCCACAAGCCAAAGCTTTGGGATTAAATGCTGCTGCAGCGCCTGACTACTCTGTTTTAGTGCCTGTATTTTCTTCTGCCCTACTGCCTCGGTGACAAAGCACTTTTCCCTATTGCAGAGGTATGTAAGCAGCAAATACAGTGTCTTTATGGACCCCATTCAAACATATGCCAATAGCTTCCTCCCAGGAAAAGAAACAGATTGTTCCCGTCTTCTCCTTCCTCTCTCTTTCTCTGTTTTTTGGAGGAGAGAAAATGTTCCGTGCATCAAACAGTGCTCATTTTCCGCTTGCTCCTGTGCAGTCCCACAGATCAGAGCTGGAGAGGCTGGGGTGCAGGGACAGCCCTATTCCAGCTAGGTGCCCTGTGGACACGGGGGCCACCGCGTCCCCACTTGCCACCCCTGTGGGGCCAGGCTGTGCTCACGGCTCCCGGCCTTGCCTCCTGTGCATAGAAACAGCAACTTTTATATCTCTGAAAATCCCTTTGAGAGCCAGGACACCTACGTGAACCCCACTCCTCTGCCGCCCAGGCCAAAGTCCAACTCGCAGGTAGCGCCGTGCACTTCCCTTGGGCACATCCACGCTCCCTTTTGGACACTGGCTTCCCAAAAAAATGGTGGCAGAGCAGTCACATGATACGATAGGAGGATGGTGAATGGAAACATCCTGCTTTAGCAACAGCCCTGCCTGTGGAGCATGGAGAGACCCCGTTCCCCATAGAGCCCCACTAGGCCCATCACCTCTCCCAAAGCACCTACCGAGCAAGAGAAGCTCTTGCTCAGGGTGCCCCCTGCTCAGGAGCCCAAGGGAATTAGCTGAGGAGATCCCCGAACCAGCAAGAGTAATCCTGAGCTACCCATGTAGAACTGCAAGAATTTGAGCAGTATTTTCAACTGTTAGGCTTTATATACACATATATATATATATAATATATATATGTGTGTTTGTGTGTGTATAAAAAGATATATCCGTGGAGCTATACACGTGCAATTTTGGAGACTTTAAAAATAATTCCCAGTCTTGTCTTTGGCTTTTCACAGCCACCTTTTATGACTCTGAAGCAATGGATGGATGGCAGAATGAGGAGCCAAAGCGCGTAACTGCTGCCGATCAGCGCGGTGTCACGCCAGAGAGGGCAGGTCGGATGTCCGCTGCCGTTCTGAGGAGACCGAGGCATCTGTGTTGGCAGGCGGCGGGGATGTCTCCAAGGCAACTGCCTTGGCTCCATATGCCGCTCGGATCCGCAAAGTTGTATCCTTTGGAGCGCCTGCTTTACATGTTAGATGAGCAACTGGCGCAAAACCAGAGCTCCGGATGTTACTAGGGAGATACCAGGGATGGAGGCTTTTTCTGGAGTGGGGAGCGGGGTTGTTCTTCATCCGACATCATCCAGTGTTTTGAAACAATGAGCGAGCAGAGCGTACACAGAGACAGGCGCGTACACTTGCTAGGAAAGTTTGCAGATGGCACCGGAGTAGTGGGATCGTAAATAATAGTGGCTTGGATCCCTTGATTTTAAATGGTCACAATCCAAGAAAACGGTGGTTTGATTCACCCAAGTGCTGGGTCTTATAGAAGAGACGGCCTGTCTCTTCTTGTTGCCCTTATAGAAGGGGAAAACTGGAGGAACAAGGTGGAGTGTTGGGAGAGCACTCACCCCGCTGTGCCATCTTTGGTAGCTTGGGAACATCTTGGGTGCTATGGGCAATTTCTAGCATAAGAGAGGGAAGCTTTCAAGATAGCCCTCTGCAACAACGTGTGAGACATTAAATAGGTTATTATTAAAAAAAAAAAAAAAGCCCTAACTCACTCGAATCATCACAGAATCACAGTTCCTGCAGAAACAATGCTACTCTCCAAAAAGCCACGTGGAGTTTCTAGCACTTACCTCAAGCGTAAGCCAGAAGAATGAGTAAGCACGTCTGAAAGACTTAATAACTTTGTCCCTTCCTCCGTATTCTTGCATCTGAGTCATGACAGCAAGCAGGATACAGCAGATATTTATGGGAGGCATAAAGCAGGCACCTTCGGAGAGCGTATGGTTTCTCTGCAGATGTCGCTCTCTGGCATTTCAAATGCTGTTTATAAAGGAATTCTCTCCTCCAGGATGTGCCCCCCTGCCCTCTGTCTCGAGTCAGGCAGATGGGGACAGAGCAGCCTGGGAGCCTTCATTCACGCTAATGATCTCTAGGGGGGTGTGCAAATTCTGCAGCGTTTTCATGAAAACGCAGCGCGTTCTGGAGGTGACCTGGGCGGGCTCCGCTTCCCCACGAGTACTGAAAAAACGTGAGAGAAAAGAATCTGTTCCCACACGTCACAGCTTTGGAGAAATTGTCCCCATCCCGTCTGTTTTTATCCTGTTAGGACCTCAATCTTGTCCACCTTGAGGCCGGAGGCAGGAGAAGCGGAGCATGGTGATGGTTTCGCTCTTGGACCTTGGACCCAACCTCAGCTTGGCAGCGACTTTGCTCCTCAGCAGCAGCCCATGCTCTGGGTGTGAACGTGTGGACCACGATGCCCGACCCAGACCCAGCTCCCCGGCAGCAGCCCCCTCGCCTCCTGCTCTGTCTGCCTTCATGGTCCCTATAGCCTGGATTTGCCACCTTCTTCACAGCTGCTGAAGTATCAGGGTCTTCTTAAGGCTTATTTCTTACTGAAAGTGTCAAGGCCCATTACCAACAGATATGAGAGAGAACTCAGAAAAAAAAAAGAGAGAAATTCAAAGGCTTTCTGAGCAGCTCATTTGTCATCAGTGTCTGATAGGCAGTGATTTATCTGGGTAGGGTTTGGGTCTCAGAAAGCCATTCAAGCTTATAATTATCTTGGCGTATGTAGAAAGCTGCATTCATCGTCCCTCAAACTCATTAGAGCCTCACACGTCTCTAAATGGAGAGGGGAAAAAAAAAAAAAAAAGGCAAAAAATCCCAACCCTTCAACGTTATTTTCTCAGAGAGAGAACAGCTTTCTGTTCCTTGCAGGCGCTTTTGAAATCCGTCCCCTCCCTGCTGACTGTCTGCAGCTCCCAAAGTCAAAATGAATGCTAGTCTGCCGGGACTGAAAGATGAAGAGAAGAAGATATTTCCATAAGCAAAGCAATCTAGTTGCTTCCATCCCTTCGCATTGGGTATTTCCTCACCAGAACGAGCAAGAGGGGAGGTAAGCCAGGTTGTGAAGCAGAGGCAGGTTGTGGACCAGAAAATGGCCACATTTCTAGGAGCACAGAGGTCCTTGTGCTCTCGTGGTCGTAGCAGCATCTATGTCCTTTTGCTGTGCTTTGCTCTCTGTAGGTTTCTTTGATCTGCACTGCGATACCACCAAATTGACAAAATATTTACGTGGTCTAAAGGTAAGAGCCCCTTGCTCTGGGCCCTGTGCAGGGGAGCAAAGCAGCATCTCCCCTTGTGTAAACTGGGTGCAAAGAAACAGGCTTGGGAAACCTTTGGCCCAGGGAATGGCAGGGCATCTTGGCTGAGACTCCAGCATCAGCCCTTGCTTTTCTGGACACCCCTTTTTGCCTGCCCGCTCTCCTCAGCCTATTTTGCTGCTCCTTCTTTCTCAGTTGTCCCCACTGTGCAAGAGCTTCTTGGAGCCATGGAAAATCTGCCCCTGGGAAAATCAGTCCCTGGGAGATGAGAGTGAGGCTTTTCCTTCTGCTTCTCCCTCTAAAACGGGCTGCAGGAAGCCAAGGACGGGAGCAAACCAGCGCGCAGGGATGGAGCCAGGGGGAGTGGATGACAAAGTCAGAGAGGGCTGCAGGTGAAGAGAGCCAGTTCCCTGCAGGAAAATATATGGGGAGAGAAACGTCCCTGCAGTGAGAAAGGGCAAAGCAGAGCTGCCTTGGGGTGACTGTGCTGATCTGGGGGGAAAAGATGTGCGAGAGGCTGCAAGGAGCCGATCCTGCTGATGGGGCTGCAACACGGGGCTCCTGTGGGGCCGTTCCTGCATCATCCCCGGCTGCAGGGGCAGCCCAGGCTGATCCCGTCGCTCGGGAGCCGGACAGAGACAGGATGCCCAGACAAAACCTGTCTGCTCCTTGGAAAGCAGAAATGCTTTCAGCAAGAGGTCTGGCTCCCACGTTTCCTGGGATTGGCAGGACAACGACAGGGTCCCCGATAACAGAGCAGAGCTCCTGAGCTTCCTCGGGAGCAGTGGTTGCAATGCATTCTGTTCTCAGGTCTTGCTGCACTTTTAATGTGATTTTTACTGTGAAATAATTAAAAAACAAAACAAAAGAAGAAAAAAAAGCTCCAGGGGCAGGAGAGGATCCAATCAAAATTTCAAAATGCTGAGACTGGAGCGTGTGGCTGCAGGCTGTGTGGATTCATAGTACCAGTTTGGCCACTGATCCTTTAAGCCTGACTCCTACTGCAGCCAGACAAGCCTGTTTCTCATAGCAAAATCCTCAGATGTCAGGATTTGCATTTGCTTGCATTTTAAATGGATATTTGTAAGGAGAGGCAACCCAGAGAGACAAGCCAGAGTGCTTGGCCTGTCACTCAAGACTCGCACTGCCATTGCACCAACAGCAATCGTTTTGACAGAGCATTGCATATAAATTGAATCACTGCAAAATTAAGGACAGGAGATGAAAGCGAACGCTCCCCAAACGAGCTGGCACCAACGACTCATGATGCACGTGCCCACAGTCCATCTCTGCACACCCCGACGGCAGCGCCTCGTCCCCGTGGACGTCCCCATTCCATCACATGGACAACACCTGATCATGAAAGGTGGCCCCAAGCCGAGGTGGGTCAGGCTGTTGTGGCAGATGCCAAATGTTAAGGATGAGTGGGAAACGACCCGTCCGGATGACAGTGGTGTGCAAAACCCCCCGTTTTTGGCCCATGCTCATGCACATTTGCAGAGCCACACCAGGGGTTTGGAGAAGAGCCGGGCTCCGGAGGAGACCCCATTCCCGCGCACCGGAGCTGGAGGCAGCCCGGGCGCTCCGGGAGAGAGTGGCGCCAAGGGCTCTTATTGTGAAAACGGGACTCCTGGAAGGGCCGTTCCCCCCTTGGCCGCCTCTGCTCCGCTCTCCCCTCCCCACGGAGGTGGGTCCGGGCGCTGCACACTTTGGAAAGGCACAGCCCGAGTCGGAGCGCGTTCCCCGGCCGCGCGGGGAGCCGCCGGCACCACCGTGGGGACACGGAGCCGCCGGAGCTGGTGGTCCTGGCACGGCCACATCTGGCGAGGGGAGGCGCCTCCTCTGCTCGCTGGAGCCGTTTGAGCTTTTCCCCCTCCTGTTTTCCGTGAGAGGACCCGGTTCTGCGCCGGAGCCCCGCAGGTGGCTCCCAGCAGCGGGAGGAGAGGACCGCGTGCGCGTCCCGCGCCGGAGTGCGCCGAGCCAGAGGCTGCAGGACGAGGGCGGCGCGCTCCGCGGCCCCGGCATGGTAGGATCTAGGGGGTTCGCTGCTGAAGCCGTGGTGGGAAGAGCTGGCGAGACGTGGCTCTGCTCTGCTCCAGCCCATCCGTGCAGGTCCAGGCTCCCAGGGTGGGCACAGAGCTCCAGAGAGCCCTGGAGACCCAGTTCCTGAGCCAGACCAAGGCAGCTCTGCTGGCGAGGGGAGAGCGCCCGTGACTTTCCGCCTGGCAAAACTCCTCTGGAGCAAGGAGAATTTAAGCGGAGGAAGCGTATTTAACTACTTTGTGAGAGTGGATTATAGTTTGGGGCAAGCAAGGAGCCCGGGCAGCGGAGCTGAGGGGCGCGTAGGCAGCGTGAGAGGGGGCGGTTTGCCCAAAACGTGACAAAAGGGACAGTTTGGCGAGGGTTCCCACTTGGGGAAATGGGTGTTCCCGCCACTATCTTGCTCCCCTCCATCCGCAGCCTGTGCCTCTCCAATGCCATTCAGTTTTGGCACTCCAGCTTGGGACGCGCTCTGGACAAACCCGAAAGGTTTCTTTGCGTAAAACCAGAGTTAGCGCAGACAGTCCCTGTCCGCAGGGAGCACCCAGAGCCGTAGGGAGTGGGTGTTGCACTCGGGCTGAGTGCCCTCACACCACACACATAAAACCCCTTCCATCCAGGGGTTTCCAACCTCTCAAAATCAGGGACTAGCCGGTATTGCAGGGATTGCTCGGCGAGGGGACGCCTTGCAGAGGAGTCCTGTCCCGCTGCATCCCTTGGAAAACCTTGGCCTGGGCACAGCCGTGTGCTCTTGGAACAGGAGAGCAGGGGGACGCCTGCCTGTCTAAACGGAGTCTTGGAACAAGCTCAGGAGGTGATGGAACAAGCTCAGGAGGTGATGGAACAAGCTCAGGAGGTGGTGGTGCTGGTGCTGCCAGGCGCTTGGCGAGCACGTCGGAGCCGCCGGGCGCGCGGATGAGAGTCCGCGCGGCTCCCGTGGTCGCAGCGACCCCTCCGTGGGACCCGGCTCCCCGGGCTCCTCGCGCCAATGGGTGGTTCGGCCTCGCCAGCCTCGGGAGAGCGGGCCTGGGACGTGCCGGTGTTTCCAGGTACTGCCTGCTGCCTGCAGTTTGCAGGGGCTATTTGGAGTTCTGTGGCTCAGAATGAGCAGGCTGCTCATTTGTCCCCGGGTTTTCCATTCTTCCTGCGCCGGGGAAGCTCTCTCTCCCATGGGAAGGGCTGTGCTGTGTGACAGTTACCGTCGCAAGGCAGGGAGCTGGCAGCTCTCTGCATCCAGCTCCCTTCAGCATCCAAAGAGGTGTTTATGTTCCGTGGTTTGGCCTCGGAGCGCGCTGCGGGCTGGCCGGGAACGCGGGAAAGGGTGCCCGGGAAAGGGAGCCGAGCCCTGCATGGATCCAGGGGAGGCTGGGAGCAGGACGTAGGGCTGGCTTTGCTGTCTGACAGCATCGCTGTCCCCCAGCCCCTGGATAAACGCCACAAATGTCAGTATTGATCCTGCAGCTGCAGCCCGCTGCTTTTACAACCCAGATGCTCTTCATGGCGCTCCGATCTCCTGGAGCAGTGAATGCTGCGGGATGACTGCATTGAAGAGACATCTTCTTTCTTATGGTTTTAAACTTTAGCAGGCATAGATATCCAATTCCTCTGTCATTCCCTTAGTATGAGGCACTAAAAAGAGGAGGATCTGATTGTGCTTTATTAGTGCCTTGGCATG